AGAGATCGGAAACTGCAAGCAAGAAAGAGAGCAGAAACTGCAAGCGCAAATCGATCTGGGAACAAAAACTGCCTGCGAAAAAGGTGCGAGGGTCAGCGATTAAGAAGGTAAGACAAAGACAGAATGCTTGATATACAAATTCGACACGTTTGTGCATGCATGATTATGTGTGTGGGGAAGAACGGTAGCCTCTGAGCATAAAGTAGATTACAAATTTCACAAGGGCAGACGGATTGAAGGATTGAGGGCTTGGAAATGGTTTGCTAAGCATTCAAAATCCCATTAAAACCACATATTGGATGAATTTCAGCGAAAAATAAATATGATTCGCAGAATCTCTTGTACCGAAACTAAGATCCGATTAAGAATTGTCGGGTTTTATGGCCTGTTTTCGTATGCCCCCCCCCCCCTACCAATCTAAAGTAGAGACGAATAAATCACGTATTTTCATTGTTTTGGCACTGATTTAATCAGTTTGGTCTCTTAAGATTTAGTGGTCGGCCATTAAATAGTTGTGTAATTTGCATAAAATATTTTATATCTTCCGCTAAAAAGAGTCAAAGCGGAGTAAGAGAACTAGTTCAATGGCATTTAAAAATAATATGCCGGCCCATCACTTCATTGACTTGAAATCTCTTAAAGAAACTATGTAAAAATGTAATCAATACCACTTTAATTTCTCAAGTCTTGAGAGTCAAAGTTGAGTCATTAACAGTCGGCGCGGTAACCATGGCAGTGCAGTGCAGTGCCTCTCTTATGATGAGGAAAAGATTCGTTTGAGTGTGGCAGAACCGCCAAAGTTTGCGATGCGGTCAGCGAAGAAGTGGCTTCTCTGGCCACATAATAATTATCGTTTAATAGGCAACTCTATGGCGTTGGGCAGGGCGGTGCGGGACGGGACGGGGCAGGGGTTAGGGGTCACAGTGGAGCGGATACCGCAAGGCCAATCAAAGCGTCATTGAAACGGAAACGGAAACTGCAAGTCAAATGGCAGTCGGCCACAGGAAATGAGACGCACAAGTGGCCAAGACAGAGAAGAAGAGTGTGAAAGAGGTGGCCGAAGTGCGGTTACTACACAGCGACCGCAAATTAACGCCAATCCCACACAGAGAGAGAGCCCACCATCAACATTCCTGAGGCCGGGCATTCCCGTAGCGAGATAGTGATATTCTGATGAATTATTAAACGAGTGCCACTCGAATGCAGTAGCATCTCGGAATCAGCATCAGCCGCACCACCACCACCATTTTCCTTTGCCATCTCTTTGTTGTTGGCCAAAAAGTGACCAAGGCAACGTTTGTCAACGTCGTTGGCTTCCGCGGTTCTGTGGCGACTCTGACTTCGACTCGACTCGACTCCACTCCCTGGCTCCTGGTTCCTGGTTCCTGGTGGCTGAATGAGCGCTCAAATGAACACCGCAATGAATGTGCGCCGCATGACAAATACGTAAAGTTTCTTTTGAAATTAAGCAGCATTTGCTGCCAATTCTTAACTACATCAGCGCCCGAGCCAAACTTTGTCCTCTTTCCGTGCGCTCTCGCTCGCTCTCTCTCTCTCTCTCTCTCTCTCGCTCTGTCTTTCTGACACTTTCTGTGGAGCTCTGCTCTTGGAGTAGTTTTTCTTTTGGCTCGCTGGATGGCTGGCTGGCTGGCGAGAGGAGAGCTTGCTCATTTCAAACTTTTGACACAGAAACTAATTTTGGCAAGCGGGCGTCAACCAGTCAACCGAGATGCCAAAGCGAACGGGAGAGTGAGTGAGGGACAGAAGCGGAAACGGAAGCACCCCCCACCCCCCCCAAACAAAAAAAAAAACAACCAAAGAATCAGCTCCAACTGCAATCTCTCCCTCTCTCTCTTTCTCTGTCTCTCTGACGCTGTCTTCCTCTGGCTTTTCATTCTCTTAGTGATTGCAATATTTCATTGCCTTTGCGGTTCGTGTGTTGCATACTTTTGAGCGCGATGTCGCTGAGGTTTTGCCTTAATTAATTGCCACAGCTCAAGCACCGCACCGCACCGCACCGATCCGCATCACTTCCTTCCTTCCGTCCGCCTCCCCCCCCCCCCTGCGTTGCCCCTTTTTGAATGCATTTTTCCCTTCTGTGAATTTCGTGCCTGGCATTTTAAAGCATTCCCCTTGGACTTTGAATGTCACTTTAATTGTCATTTGATTTGATTTATCCCCCAAACTTAAGCTCAAACCCCAACCCAAGGCCTCCTTCACTCGCTGGGTTTATCTTGTCTTCCGTTGGTCGAGCAAATTAACGCTTCAGATATGGTGCGACGTCGCTCTGGGAGGTCGGTGGTCGGTGGTCGGCGGTCGGCGGTCGGCGGTGGTAGGGAGTGAAGCTGTCAAATCAAACTTCCCGGGACTTGTGCAGATTTATGACATTTTGATTAGGCGATAAGTGTCAAAGCTGCATTAGTATCTCTCTCTCTCGCTCTCTCTGGGTTGGGGCATGTCCAGCTAAATGACAAGCATTTGCCTCATGAATATGCCACAATTTCGATGGCAATTTAACCGGGGGGGCAGGGGGGGGACGAGTACGAGTACGTACACCTTTAAAATGTTTCAATTACTCGCAAAAGTGCTGCTTCTCTATGCATATAGAAACGGAAGGAAGATTTTCAAACAAAATTTCCTTGCGAAAATAAGCCATTAAACGAGAGAAGGCCAAAAAGTGTACATTTGAGGAGTGTGTGTGTGTTTGCCAATCATATTTTGTTGAAACAGGACACGCCAGGACGAGGGATGGCACGAGGCACTCTCTTATCTCTGGGGAATCGATGCCCAATGCCCGATGCTCGATGCTCGATGCCGTTCTGGGAGCTTGTTGTGTCAATTACATGGCTAAAATGTTCACACCTTTCGTTAATAATGCAAATGCGAAATGCAAATGAAGGTAGCAGCAGCCAGCAGCCAGCAACCAGCAGGCGTTGCCGTTGCCGTTGCAATTGAAGATATATAGATACAGATACAGATACAGATACAAATGCTATGGCAGCAACCCATCTAACAGATACCGGAATAGAGCCAAAGAGCTCAAGCTCTGATTGCATTTCATTTTCAATTTAACTTACTTTTATTTCGAGCAATGAAGAAGAGTGGAGCCGTAGCCAGAGCTGGAGCTGGAGCTGGAGCTGGAGCTGCAGCTCCCGGTTTTTGCAATTACCATCGAATGGAACGTGGACCCACACCCTGGGCTTCCCTGAACAGGAGCGGAGTGGCGTAGAGTTGTGCGGGGAGGGGGGAGGTGGAGGGGGGAATGGATGTAGCGGAGACCGACAACAGCAGTTGGGATTACATTTTCAATATTTTCTCAGCAGCAGGCAGCAGGCAGCATCATCATTTTTTTATTCGCTCTCTTCTCCATTGGCGCTGCGAGGCTCTTGCCCTTCTTGTCATTGTTCGGCCCCCCCCCACCCCCCACCCCGCACCCCTTTTTTGTCCCCTTTTCTCGACTAGATTCTTGTGCACTATGGCCATAAATTTTTAACTACAACAAGCTCTTGAATGCAATTACTTTTCAATCTTTTTTTATTTTTTTATTTTTTTTTGCCTTATGCCTCACTCGGCGACGAGACCGACCCCTCTTCACACTGTCTATCTGTCTGTCTGTGTGTGTGTGTATTTGTGTTCTATAGTTTCAACGCGAAAATTGCTTATTTCAACATTCAACTTGAGAAAAAGTTTCGTTGCGTCTCGTTACGTTTTTTAAAAAATAAATAAAAAAAAAACACAAAATAAAAGGAAAAGTTTGCCATAATTTTTGCCAAGAGGTCTATCACTTTCTTCGCCTTCCACTTGCCCTCCCTCTTTCCCTCTCTCTGTCTCTGTCTCTCTCTCTCTCTCTTTGATTGCTTTTATTTCTGCTCTCTTCTGGCCTCCTGGTATTTATTTTAACCCGAGCAAAAAGTGGCTTGAACTTTGTTTTATTTGATCAGGAATCTGACATGATGGCTGGCTTATGCAAAAGAAGGCCAAGAAAAACTTACGACACTGAAATCTGCCCAGCGACACTTTTACCCCCCCCCCCCCCCCCCCCCCCCTGCCTTTTTCCCAGCCCAGAGAAAATGCACTTTTCTCCGGGGGCAGTTATGAAAGTCATTTTACGGCTAAAAAAAAAAAAAAACCAGCCATCAGAGACTGAAAGTTGGAGATTAACTGGAGGAAAAAAAAAAAAAGTATAAGTATCAGTAGAGGATTAGGGGGATTAAGTTTGCAACAAAAAAACGAAGAATTTTATTATTATGGAATGCCGAAAGATTGCGTTTGCAAGGAAGACCGCCGGAGAGCAGTGGTCCTGTGGTCGCCTTTCGGGAGATCATTAATGAATCGTGGAAGGAAACGGCAGCTGCTCTTCGACTGGCCTAATCCGCCCTCCTCCCCTCTCCCGTTCACCCTTTGGCTGTGGCACAGTGCCTCAGGATTGTGCATGTCCTCGTCCAGCAGTCGAGCATATGTCCAGCTGCTGTGGGAAATTACGTTGTTTAATGTCTTTTAATCTTTTTATACAGGAGAGAACAGGAGCAGAGAACAGGAGCACTCGTCGACGGGAGTGTAGTGTATTTTTTGTTGCATTTTCGGTGCATTTGGCAAATGATTTTAGTGGCCGCGTGGGCGGATTAGTGCAACGGATTAAGAATGAAAATGTTTGCAAAATATGAAAAGTTTATGGTCCGGTCGGCAGATTAAGAATGAATGTTTTTTATTGCGGCCAGCAGGGCAGGACATTGCAGGACAGTGTCCTGGACAGGGCATAAGTCAAAAGTGCCACAGGTAGCCCCACAGGTAGAGCACCGCCCACCGTGCTGATGCACGAAAAAACATTAGGGATGTGTGGGTGGGTGTGGCAGGTAGATCTTGAGGCTGCTGAGTGGTATAAAAAGCAGAGGCAGTGCTGGAAAGGGCATCAAACGAACCGAGAGCGTTGAAGCAGTGACATTGCAACAGCAGCAAACCAAAAGGAGCAAGCCACAAACCAAAAATCGACCAAATCGAAGATGCCACGCTACCAGAAACTCATCAACGAGGACAGCACCATGGAGACGTCCACGCTGCCCCAACAGAAGCACTCCAAGCAGCCGCAGGTGGAGCACCAGCTGCAGCATCGCCATCAGTACCAGCAACAGCCCCCGAACGTGGGCTACCATCTGTATCTGTATCGGCAGCAGCTGGCGCGCCGCAACGTGGAGTACATGCGCCTGTCCAAGGCCAAGTACTGCATCACGGACACCCTGCTGGCCAAGACGGTGCGCAACCTGAAGGCCTGCACCGTGGACGAGCTGAAGACGGTCAACAATCAGATTGTGTTCCGGCACAAGCTCAAGCATCAGATCCGTCGCCTGCGCAAGCTGCAGTTTCTGGGCATTAAGAACGCCAATCCACAGATGGAGAGCACAGAGCTGTGAGGAGGAGCAGGATCAGCGGAAAGAGCAGCCCTGGCTACGACTTGAGAGGGGCTCCCTTTCAGGAAGGAGGAGGATCATTCCCTTGGTCACAGAACAGGGTCATGACCTGTCAAAACATAGCTTAAGTGGCGGGCACTGCATTAATCTATATTTAAATCTCATTAGTTGTTTAATTATTTTAAGATTAACAAAAAACATTCCAATAAATCTACAACTAAATGGAGACGCTGTCATATTTTGTCGAAGAGACAAAAGGAGAGGGACGGGGAGGGGGTTGGGGGGGGGGGGGGGCAAAGCCAAAATCCAACTATCGTCTGAGGGCAATTTGTGGCATCAACTAATTGAGTTCTGTGTGTTTGTAGCGCCTTGACATGTGTCAGGACAAATCATCTTTTGGCTCCTGCTCCATTACGTGTCCCTTCCTTTGACCGCAAATTCATTAGAAATTAATTGCTGTGCGTGTGTGTGTGTGTGTGTGTGTGTGTGTGTGCTTTCCTTTTGAAGAGGACTTTGAACTTGTCATCGATTTTGTTAGACAAATGGATGGATGCCAGGCCCAGACCCAGACATTGAGAGTCGCCTCGGTTTTTGGGTTCATTTCGGTTCGATTGAACGATCGATCGTCCCAGCGACGGCAGCGGCGGTGGCAGCATCGGTGGCAGCGTCCGTTTAATTGGAAAATCATTTTGCCCAAAGTGCTTTACACTTAACTTAACACCGAACATAATTATTTTCACTCAAAATAATATTAATAAATGGAGTTTCCACCATTCCCCTTGGCCGGCCCCCTTTTCGGCCATAATAAATAAATGGCGCACATAATGCGGGCCAGTAAGTCAATTTTATTATTGAAATGAGTTGTGCGATGTTCAAACAAAAACCTCAGGCGGGCGCGCCGTCAAAGTGCATGTGTGAGTGTTAACAATTAAAATGTATATGTATTTGTGTTGTATATACATGTATATATGTGAGTGTGTGTGCGTGCGTGCCTGTGTGTGTGGGTGGTTGCAATTTGCCAACGCTCAAAAGTATGCTATGAAAAATGTCCAACATACACGCATTAAATTTTCCACACAATCAATTTTCTTGCCAAAAGGAGTGCACCAGAGAGAGACAGAGAGAGGGAGAGAGAGAGTGAAAGCCATATGTTAATTTTCTATAAAATTGATTTATTTACGTACATATATGCATCGACATTTAATCGTTCAGACTTCCTGCTGCATGCAAATTTATATGTGAATGTCCTTCAAGGACAACAGCAGCGGCAGCTGCCACATTGGGCAGCCTCTCAGACGACGACGACATGGACGACTTGTCGAGTCGATTAGTGAGCTTCATTATGTGCATCATTTTCATTATGTTTATTATGGCAGATAGAACTAAGGACTCGTGCACGCAGCCCCTCCCCCCACCCCAGAAAGGGGGAGCCAACGTCTCGAGTTAATGCAATAAATAAAATTCCAACTGCACCATGGGGCATGTTTAGCCGCATGAAAAGCGACAGTAATCCAGAGACGGGGACGGTGACGGTGACGGTGACGGGGGGGCGGGCCGGGGCCTGCATAAGAAGTTGCCGCCTGTTTATCTTGGAGGTCCTCAATCTCTCTCCCACTCTCTCCCTTTGTTTATCCTGGTCTTGGGGAATGGGGTTTCCAGTCCAGGACGCTGGATGCTGGATGCTGGATGCTTGGGCCTGCCTGCCTGCCTGCCTGCCTGCCTGCCTGCCTGCTCCCTGTCACTGGCTGGCTGTTTTCTTTCAAAAAGTTGCTGCCCTGCTTGTTGTTGTTGCTGTTGTTGCTGTTGTTGGCCGGTGTTTGGTTAGACCAGAGCCGAGTCGCTTGGCTGCCTGCTTGGCCAACTGCCCTAATGAGTTTACAAAAAGTTTTGCTTTAACAAAATGCCAAGCAGAGGCAGTAGCTGGAGCAGCACTGGAATCAGGAGTTTAGCGGCAAGGGCAGGGGGCAGGGGGAAGGGGGCAGGGCGAGTGGGGAGTGTGGCAGGAACTGCCCAGCATGTTATACAAATTGCAAGGGGGACCCTGGACCAAAACTGTCATCAACGTGTCTCCCTCTCTGGCGCTGCTCCTCCACCTCCCTCTCTCTCCCACTCTCTGACTGGTGTGGCAGTTGCAGGACGTGCATGTGGCTTTCTGGGGCTGGAGTCGCCCCCCATTTGTTTACCTATCCCATTTGCCGGCAAGTTGCATTGTTGCCTGGTTACTTGGCGACTAAGCAAGCGAAAGTTTTCGCATTTATGTTGCAGCAACAGAGAAGGACAAAAGACAGAGGGACAGAGGGACAGAGAGACAGAGAGACTGAGAGACGGTGTGGCTGGGCCAGAGAAGAATATGCATTTTAATTAGTTTAGCAAAGTTGCAACTGCAACTCGCAGACACCGAAGGAGGAGGCGGAGTCGTCGACGTCTTCTGGTCTGGTTAATTGCGCAAATTTAATGTCTTCTGCTGCTGCTGCTGCTGCTGTTGCAGGCGTCCTCCCTGTGTCCCTGCAACTGTCATTGCACTTTAATGTGCATGTGGCACTGTGTGCGTGTGCTTGTGGCAGGGAAAAGTTTCCTTCTGCCTACAAGCAGCCTTCAGCCGCAAATGCAACACAAAACTTGTTAACATTTCACATTTCACCAAGTAGCAAATTCAATTAGTTTGTTGTCATCTCTCAGCAGCAGCTGCTGCCCCTCTCCCTCCCCTCCCTGCACCCTGTCTTGGAGAAAATTTTAGCAAATTACTTTAATGCCCCCCACAAGTTGCCACACATTAATTCCGGCCGTAATTTACTCAACTATTTTGTGGAATGTCTCTGCCACACATAAATTAATTTGTCTAAACATAAATCCGTTGACTGTTTTCCTGTTTTCCATGCGGCCGAAACGAGGCTGCAATTGATGGCAACAGCAGGAGGCGGGGGTGGGGGGGAGTGGCAGCAGCAGCAGCAACAGCAGGGAGGGAGTGGCAGCAGCAACAGCAGGGAGAGGAGCCGCAGGGGGAGGAGCCGCAGGGGTAGAAGAAAGAAAAAAACCTCATTAGGTTTTTCAATAAATTTAATTCAATATAAATAGAGTGCCGGCTAGAGTGGAGTCTCCCATCTTCCGTCCCTCCCGTCTCCGCCGTCTCTACCGTCTCTTCCGTCTCTCGTCTTGTGTCTCGTCTCGTGTCTGCCAGTCAGCAGTCAGGCACTTCATCTTCGTCTCCTTGGGTCTTCCTGTGGAATGCCCTGAGGCTCCTCCTTTGGTGTCCCTTTTTGGTTGCTGCAGACAGAGGCGGCGGCAGCAGCAGCAGTGCAGGAAGCGTCAAAGTTGCACACGTCGCCGTCAGCGAGGACTTAGAGCAGCTGATGATGCAACGAGTATTCCTGCTGCTGCTGCAACACTGCCTCCTGTCACTCCTCTGGCTGCTCCTCCTGCCTGAGATGGAGATGGAGAGGGAGACTGGGACTGAGACTGAGACTGGGGCTGCTCTTCCTCCTGCTTGGGCTGTTTCCACTACAACGCTTGCCGTGTGCTGGGATGTCTGGGCTTATACACTGAAACAAATGAGATTTAGAGAGATTTTTAGGGCAGATTTCGGGCTAAGGCAATCAATAATTCTTGTTTAAAAGGTAGACCCCATATGGGCTGGCGAGAGGAGAGAGGGGTGGAGGTACTCCTCCTCCTTGGACCTTGAGGATGATAATCGAAGAGAATCCTTACCTCTGAGATATTTCTCTCAGTGTTTCCTTCTGCAGCATCTCCTACTCTAAAATACTTTCCCCCCCCCCCGTGCATTCTCTATATATATTCTCTATTTCTCAGCTTGAGCCGCGCTTAGTCGGGCGTTGGCGAACGCGTAAATTTGGCGCTTCAAAGCGGTGATTATGTCGTCGTCTGCTGCTGCTCTCTCTGTCTCTCTCTCATTTTCTTGGTCAATTTTTCTTCATTATTTTTTTTGTGTTGTTTTTTGCTCCTGACTGGAGCGGCGCCGACGTCATCAGTTGAATAAATTAAGTTGCAGGCAAACAGCTAAATGAAATTGTTAATTTGAAGCTGCACAGCGGAGTGGAGGGGAGGGGAGCGGAGTGGAGTGGAGTGGAGCGGAGTTACACCTGAGAGGAGTTGCACGAACTGCGGATGGTCTGTGGAGACCTGCTGGCCGCTAAGCCGCTTATGGCATGATCTCAATCCCAGTGAGCACAGAGCCATATGCTGGACATCAATGGAAGTGCTTCCCAGAGGAGAAGGAGGAGGAGGAGGAGCAGGAGAAGATTCTTGTTCTGCTTTTGTGTGCCAGTGGACAGTGGCATCGTCTGCAGTCTTTGTGCCACAGTGCGGCAACTGTTACCTCTTTGTATCACCATTTGATCCCAGCCTTTGACTCACTGCCAGTGCCCCCTCCCCCACCGTCCCTCCGCGTTCCCTCTGTAATTGCGTTTTAAATGTTTGGCTGTAAATTGGCAAATGATTGCTTGAATTTATATTAAACTTTAACCCTCGGCCACTTAATTAGCTCTCGTGGAACTTCAGCTTGGATTTCGATTTGGCGTTAACTACTTTTTCATATGGCCATCAATCTGTGGCGGTTGCAAGTTTCCTGTGGGTGGCTGTGCAACTGCCCCAAATAGGGCCAAGACAATAACAAAAATGGGAAATGGCGAAACGGAAGAAACGGAAGAACTTTTGTGCAACGAAAGAGAGAGAGCGGGCAAGAGAGAGGGTGAGAGAGAGCGCGAGAGAGTCAACTTGAAAATATATTGAAAAATGCAGTAGTTTTCCCACCAGAGAACCCACCCCCTCCCCCTCCCCCTCCCCGTTCTTACTTTTTTTTTCCTGCGATTTCTCTCTGTGGAAACTTTTGTGCAAGTTCTTCCCTTTCGGTGTCCTGCTGTCTTCCCCCTGCCCCCCTCCCCCCCTCATAGAATGCTCTGCTCTGTGCCTTAGCCTTTGCTTAAACTGACGTAAATTTATAATGACAAATTGCATTTGGAGCAAATGCGGCGAAAAAAAGCACAGAGACAGAGGGAAATCGAAGGGGGGAGTGGGAGAGGGGGAGGGGGAGGGGGGAACGGGAACTCTCTCCTGGAGTTGCGGCCAATTGAGCGTGAAAAATTATGAAGCTAGAAAGAAAACGGATTAAACTTGAGCCAGGAAAACCGAACAGAGACAAAGACAGTGGGGCAGGGGCAGGGGCAGGGGCAGAGGGGGGGAGGGATGCTTAATTACAGTTTAAATCCGCTTAAATGCAAATGCCCCAATTTGATTTTTGCATATTGGATTTGATTGTTGATTGTTGATTGTTGATTGTGGAAGCAAGTGAATAATGAATTGACAGGGAAGACAAGTGGCCAGTCAACTGCAGGATGGCTCGAACCAGACGTCAACGATAGCTCGGCCAAGTGGCCAGAAGTGCGTTCAAAAAAAGTGTCAACACATGTCCCAAAAAGAGGGAAAAGTAGGCTCAAAAGGGAGTCCAGATTTGCCTACAAAATACGGCTCAAATAGGAATTAAAAGAAGGCTCGAATGGGAATTAAAAGGTGGCTCGAATTGGAGTTAAGGGATTACTCAAATAAGAGTAAAATGATGGCTCAAATAGGAGCAAAAGATGCCTCAAATATGAGCAAAAAGATGGCTCAAATATGAGCAAAAAGATGGCTCAAATAGGAGCAAAACGATGCCTCAAATAAGAGCTAAAAGATGGCCCAGAAAAGTGTAAAAAGATGGCTCTCAAAATTAGTACAAAGATGCCTCAAATAGGAATAAAAGGAGGGCCAAAAAGATGTCTGAAGTGTGATTAAACTATGCCTCACATAAGACCCAAAAAGGTGGCTTTAGTTAGGGGTAAAAGATGGTTTAAATAAAAGGTATATTTAGGCTGCAGTAAGACGAAATATATGACGAAAAGATGGCTCGAATAACACTGAAATATTTACTTAAATAAAAGCCCAAAGATGGCCAGAAGATGGCTCGAATGAGAGCTGAAATGCCCCCCAAATAAGAGTAATAATAGATGCTCCCAAGTGGAGGTGGCACTGAAACAAGAATGAAAACTTTCCCTCAAGTAAAACAAAGAAAATTGAATAATTATCAAAGAAAATGTATCCACAAAATACAACAAAAAATACCACACAAAATATAATTGAATTTTTGTGTGTTGGAATAAAGTAAAAGGCTTGAAATATTGTTTGAGCCACTGAATGTGCTGCATAAACTGATAATTTAATCCTCGGGTTACCAGATTGATTGAACTTTCCGCAAGGATATGGCCACATTCCATCCATCAGTCGGCAAAGGGGACGGGGACCCACTCTGCGTTTGAGAAATGTAAAAACCAGTGAAACCTGAAGTCTGAAGAAAGGACCTTTTGCTGTTGCAAACAATCTACCAGCCACCATATCAGTCAGGCCAACAGCAGAGCGACAAAACTGGCTTAAATTTCACTGCCCAACTCCTTTTCTCTCTGTTGTTGTTGTTGTTGCAGGGCTATGGGCTGCTGCTGGGGCGCCACCGCGTCAGGGCGATAAAGCAAAAAATGACACGTTTTTAATTTTACTTCACACCTACACAAAAGGCAACAGCCCCAGCAAGGAGTGGCAGAGGGAGTGCGAGAGAGACAAGGAGCTGTAATCAAAACTGCAAGAGAGCAACAGTCACAACAGCAACAATAAGCGGGTGGGAGTGGCAACTTGCAACAAGAAAAACTGAAGGTGGCAACAGCAACAACTGAAAGGTGACAACAATGCAACTAACTGGAGAAAGAACGCAAGACAAAATGGGGTCCAGGCGGGCAGGCGGGCAGGCGGCAGGCGGCAGGCAGTAGAGACGACAGACCACAGACGAGCGACCCTTGGAACCAGAACCCAGAAACCTCCAGAGTTTGAGAGCTTCAGAAAGAGAAAAATTAGATTTATCACGAGTGGTTGCCGGAAAAATTGTCAACATTTATCAACATTTTTCAACGGGGGCAGCAACAGCAACAGCAGCGCCAGCAGCAGCAGCACCTCAAGAAAACTACATCAACAGCAACAAAAGGCAATGCAAAAGGAAAACTCTCGGTGCTGCCAAGGCTAAGCCAAGTCCAAAGTATGCCAACACCTCTGGCCAACGGGAAGCTGGCGCTGGGTCTCGTTTTTAGCTCTTTTTTTTGGCCGCGTGGGAGCATGCTGCACCGCACTGCATTTTGATTAATATCCGCAACGTCAAGCCATGGCCGCTCTCTCGAAAGTTGCAACAACAACAATTGCCACACGCAAGAGCGCCCGTTCGAGAGCCGAGAGCCGAGAGCCGTGAGCCGTTGATTGTGAAAAGTGGTCACGAGATGATGACAACAAATTCACTGGCGAAATGAAAACGAACGAAGGAAGGAGCGAACGAACGCTTTTGCCTGTCAGTGGAGGAGCATAGAGTGTAGTGTAGGTGTTGCTGCTGGCCACCAGTCTCTCCAATCCACTCCATTCTCTCCTCTAGTGAAAGCCAGCAGGAGAACGACACAGAGAGAGAGGGGGAGCGAGAGGGGGAGACCATGAATGCGGTGTTTATATTCTTTTTTGATTGGACCCAAAGAATGCTTGAATTATGTCTGCTGATTGAGATTTTCACTGGGAAAACCCAGAAAGAGTGGAGAGAGGGAGGAGAGCAATTAATTTTGGGGCTAAAAGTGGGTAGGACGAAGCCTGGCAATTATCTAAAGTGAAGCCGAGATTATTTAATTAAGAAAAACATGCAGAAATAAGAACCAAATTTTAATCAATTTTCTATGGGGCTTCATGGGGTTTAATCCGGAACTCTTCCATCAACTCTTTTTGCCAGCAGCTGCTCCCCGCTCCTCCACTGATGAAAGTGAATCCCCAACCCTCCCCCCCCCACACACACACATACACATACACCCCTTTGCCCCACACACATAATCGCATTTTGAACTTTTTCAATAATAAAACTTTTCTAAACGGATTTCCCGCTGGACGGTTGCGCTTTAATAATTTCTGCTGTTTTATCTTTCGTTTTTTTTTTTTTTTTTGTTCCACAGAGAAACAAAGGACCAACAGAGCGGGCAGCAGGCTTAGAGGAAGCAGTAAGGGTCAAAGTGCATCAAAGGCATTAATTTAAATTGGATATTATGTGCGCAACGGCAGCAGGAACGAGACAAGCCACAACCACTGAGAGGTAAGAGAGCTGAAATTTGAATATGAAGAAGATCCCTTAACCCCTCCCTCTCTCTCTCTCTTGGACCCTTAGCTCATGTATGACAAAACCAAGAAATCGTGGGGTCAACGGCTCAAGACACTCGGCAGTAGCCACAGTGGAGGAGACGCCTCTCTAGGCACCGTCAGCGGTATGCAGGCCATGCAGCAGCTGCAGCTGCATATGCAGCACCAGCAGCACCAGCAGCAGCAGCAACAACAACAGATGCAACAGCAGCAACAACAGATGCAACAGCACCATGGACACCATGTACACCACTTGGCCGCCTACCAGCTGCCGCCGCCCGTTGCCGCCGAGTTCCTGCCCAGCGCCCTGTCGCGCTCCATGAAGTACGCCGAGCCCTGGATCTATGGCACTGTACGGGGCATACCGGCGCGGCCCTCCTACGGCTACCATCACCATCACCAGCATCCCCATGCGGCGGCCATCTTTGCCACGGACGGGGGCGGCGACTCGCCCCTGAGGGGGGCCCTGGCAGTGGTGATCTGTTCGTGCGCCGAGTATCTGAATGGCACGAAACGTGACGTGAAGAAGGCGAGCGTATGCAAGAAGTGCAAAGGTTCGCGCCTGCCGCTTGCCACCATCGGGGGCGGCACTGGCGGGGGCACTGTCAGACTGCCAGCTGTCAGCAGCAGCAGCAGCAGCTGCAACGTCAACGGCAGGGGCAGCCGCCCCATGGCTGCCACAATGCGTGTGGTTAGTGCCACAAAGAAATCACGTCCCTCCATTCTGGATCCACAGAAGGATCCCTACGACCTGATGCGACGCACGCGACTCCTATCGCCGGAGCCGAGTGCCAGTGTCACCAGCAAGGACTCCCCCAGCAAGGAGGGAAAGTCACGTAGCCGCGAAACGGCCACGGTGTCCACAACGAGGGGTCGCACCCGGACCAGGGCACCGCTGCCCCCGGTAAAGGCAGCAACAGCAGCAACCTCTGCGGCACCAGAACCCGCCGACTGCTGGCTAATGGAGGACAACGATGCACTGCTTCAGAGCAGCGGTCTCCAAGGGAGAGCCTCCAGCGCCGGCAGCAGTCGCCGCTCCATCCTTCGCTGCAACGTCAATCCCTACGACCTGATCTCAATTGAAAATGGGAAGCAGAACCAGCAGCAGAACCAGCAGCAGAGCCAGCAGCTGCAGCAGCAGCAGAAGAAGAACCAGTCGGCCAAGTCCGTCTATGCGGATGACTTCGATGTGGCCGACGCCCAGCTGAACGACGACGAGCTGGAGCGCCAGCGGAGCGAGCAGCGGGAGAAGGGGAAGCGCAAGAAGTTCTATGGGAACAATGTGGCGGCCATTGCCGGCCAGAGGATTAGCCTGGGCAAGGAGAAGCCCATAGCAATCGATCCGTCCGATTCGAGTGACAGCTATGAGCGGATCATTATCGCCTCCGCCTCCGCCACCGCCACCTCCTACTCCTGCTCTTCGGCGGAAGCGGTGGCGCATTCAGCTCCGCCGCCTGTGGTGGGGCCGCGACGTCCGCCCCGCAATAAAAAAGCTGATGAGACGGCAGCCAGCCACCCGGAAGCGCCTTTAGCTGCAATAATGCCTGTAACTCCTTCAAGGGCGACACCAACTGACGATGAGAATGATGAAGAGAACGATGATGGTAACGATGGCTCCGCGATGGCCTTTACAGTGCTCACTGTGACGCCCACAATGCCGGCCATCAAGTCCATACTGAAGCGCCGTCCGTCGACACTGGAGTTGCCTTCAGTGCAGTCTCCGCCGCCTCCCGCCGTCCTCCTGCCCGACGGTGGAGTGGCGCCAGTGCTGACGCCTTCGGGCAAGTCACAGTTCTACATTCCGACGCCAACGAAGGCGACAGCTGCCACGCCCACGGCCACAGCTGCAACAGCAACAGCGATGGCGATGGCGATGGCAACATCAACACCTACACCCACACCCACGTCCAGTGGCACACCAGGAGCGAATGGTGCGACGATGACGCCAACATCCACATCGAGTTCACGCAAAAAAGTGCAATTTATGGTCGAGGATAAAATCATAGCCACGACAACGGATACGGCGGCGACAACTGATGACAGCAGCGATGCCAGCAATGCCAGCAATGCCAGCAATGCCTTTGTTGGCCCAGCCACTGGGGCGGGATCTGCTGCTGACGAAGCAACAACAACCAGGACAAACTATGAGTACTACAATCGCAAGAGAAATGCAACAGCAGCAGCAGCGGCGGCGACAGCGGCAGTAGGGAGAGCAGCAGCAGCAGCAGCAGCAGCGGCGGCGGCACAGCAGGAGACATTTGCGGCTGACGTTGATGATGAGCATAACTTTACAACTTCCGCTGAACCAACAGCAACAGCAGCAGCAGCACCATCAGCAGTGACAGTGGCAACAGCAACAGCAACAGCAGCAGCAGGAACAGCAGCAACAGCAACAGCGTTGCACATTAAGCCGGATAGTTTGCATTATGAAGATGTGCTGCCGCCGCTGCTGTCCGGGCATCAAATATTTGACAAGAGCAACAGCGACAGGAGCAGCGAACCAGCAACTGAAATGCTGCCAAAATTATTATTGCCAGCGGAGGAGGATCCAGCAGCAACAGCGGCATGCCACTCGGGCATGGGGTCCCCGCATGTGACTGCAACTGCTGTCAGCAGCGTTTTGCCAGACGGTAAGTACCAGACCATAGAAGCTAGAAGCTGCCACTCTACCACCACCACCATTCAAACTGTCCCCTGGTTGCCATTTGCCCGTTTGCCCGCTTGCCCTTTTGGCCATGGACTTTTGTTGGCTTTTAATTATGACGGCAAAAAGGGTAGAAGAATGAATGTGCGAAGTAAGCAGTTTTTCCTTTACCAAGTGCCACACGGACATTCGAAAGGGAAACCGAACCCCCTGCCCCCCAAAGAGGGCATGCCAAATGCCACATGCCACATGTCCAGGTCTATTCTTTTGCCACATTCTCCCAGCAACAACTAGTCTGTCTGTCATTCATTCATTCATGGATGGACACTGTTTATTTTTGAGTGAAAATGCAGCAATTGTTTGCTAATTGCTCATCACCGCACCGCGCCGCACCGCACCGCACCGCACCGCACCGCACCGCACCGCCCCGCATTATATTACGTATACGCAAAGTTGACGACGACACTTTATGCATTATACAAATGTCCCCCCGCCCGCCTACCCCTTTTGAACAAGCACAAGAGGGGGAGGGGGGAGTGGAATGAAAATAGCAGAGGAAATGGTTGTGGCACTGCCAGAGCCAATTGAAATGGTGACATTTGAATGAGAACGATGGGGTCACACCTGCTTCTGCCTCTGCCTCTGCTGCTGCTGCAAGTTCACGGAAGGGTTAACACCATAATCAAGCATCAGAGACCCTCTCAGACCCACACAGACCCCATTGACACACAGTCAGAGGCACAGTCGTCTCCTCTCACATGCTGGCACCTCTCTATATGCTTTAAGCGAGTGAAACCAGCTTTCCACATCCATCGAAAGGTGTCATGCCACCACCACCACAACCTCCCACGGCACGTAGTTACGCGGCAAACAGAACGAGGACTACGACGACTGCGACGACGACTAGGAGGCAGATAGTCAACGTGACATTTGCACCCACAAATGGCAGCAAAACCCACAGCGATATGCCACCAAAACTATGTACTTCTCATATGCATGGGGCCTTTCCTTTCCCTTCTCCACGGGATGCAGGCTCACGAGGGGCGGAGGGGACACAGGGACTGCAGGCGCGGGAGGGGCGCAGGGGACACAGGAACTGGGTGGAGGCGTGTCGCACATGTTCGACTTCATTCAAAGCAAATTAACAGTCGACACAAAGACTCACACACACACAGAGAGAGCGGGAGACGGGGGAGTGCGGGAGTATGAGGGAAACTTTTCATTCAATTAAGCCTTTTAAATGGAGGGGGGGAGAGAGGGGATTGCTACGTGGAACAACTTGGGTCCGTCAGGACATTAAGCTCGAGAGTTCCGTTCGATTAAAGATCAAGAAAGATGTGTGCCCTACCGTCCTGATTAATTTTCGCCCTTCAGCCAAAAGACTGCCTTCTGGAATGTGGTTGCTATCTGCTTTGGGGCCCCAGACAATGACGATTCTTGCCGCCATGCCGCCATGCCGCCACAATGGCAACGACAGTGCTTATGGCTGTCTATTAGAGCTGCAGCTGCAGCTGCAGAGGGTGGGGGGAGGCCCCATTGGGAGCGTCATAAAGGTGACATGGTCGTGGCAATGGGCGCCCACGTGTCGCTCTCCGCGAAGACAATTACAAAAGTTCCTCCTTTGCGTGGCTTTCGCTCTCTGCGGCTTCGTGTGTCTGCCGCCTGCCGCCTGCAATTTGTTGCATTGTTTGTCGGTGGGTGCAACGACAGCGACTTCTCTGCCCTGCTCTGGCCCTGCTCTGGCCCTGGCCAGGGGTTTAAGCACTTGAAAGTTGGCAAACTATTTTTGATTTGATTTTTGAAATTGGCTCGCTTTGGGCGCTTAGCGTAAGTTGGCGTTGCAGGCGCATGGACGACGCCCCCACCGCCTACCCACCAGCAGAGACCACTCGCATTCCCCGCCCCGCCCCAAGCGCCTCCCGTGATGATTTATGGCGCACGTGTTGCATTCACCGCTGCTGCCGCACAGCCAAAGCTTTTCAGAGAGTGGGTCGCCAGGTTAGGCCCAGACACAGCCAGAGACAGAGACAGTGCCAGAGACAGAGACAGAGACAGAGAAAGAGACAGGGACAGCCGGGCCAAATCACAGTGAAAGGCATTAAAGTGATAGAGTCTGGCCGGTCTGGTCTGGTCGACGGTGAAATTTGCATTTTTAATGCCACCAAAAGCCCACCCCACCCCACCCCACCGCCCCGCCGTGGCAGACGGCCCCCGGGTCCGAGGTCCTGGGTTTTGAGTCATGGCCATGGCCTGGGCCGGTCCGCGTTTTTGTGGATTATTAATATTTCATATTTGTCTTTGATAAGCGAAAAGTGCGCAAGCGACACACTCACACACACACACACACACACACACACACACACACACGAGCCATGCTGCAGACACAGACACAGACTTCTGTTGCATGAATGAGAGTCGTGGCAAATGCTGAAAATGGATTCGATTCGCAGTTCGGATTGGGATTGAAATTGGAATTGGGTTCGGAATTAGGCATGTAGAAAGCTTTGCAGGAGGGTGTGTGTGGGGGGGGGGGGAGACCTTTACCCATGCCATGCGATGAAATTATTTGGAATTTTGTTGATTTAAATTTAGAAAATCCTGAAATGGATACGAAGTGGTATTGGGAGAGCGCCAGGGGCTGCAAGCCTTAATATACTACCCATATTTATACGATTAAATAATTGGATTTTCTGTGACTTTCGGGGAGCGAGTGAGCCGGGGGTTGGCGTCCCTTTGCGTCTCTTTTGAGGGAGAAATTGACACTCTTTTAATCCACAAAAAGTATTTAAAAATACAAAATTACTTTGTTGCTTTAATGGCTACGAAAAAGCATCGTTTCCCTCATCGATACAATATGTATCGTATAGAGCGAGTGAGCCGGGTGCTTATAGATCACAAATATTAGTTATTTGAGGCTCTTTTGGAGAGGAAATGCATACCTTTTTAATCTTTTAAATTATTTAAAAATATAAAATTACTTTGTTGCTTTAAAGGTCACAAAAAATCATCGTTTCGCACATCGAAACAATATGTATCGCATCGTATCGTTTAAATGGTTTATTATTTGCTGTGAAATCAATTTGGAATCTCCTATTTCGACTTTGTTTGACTATGTTTAATATATGTTTTAAATTCGAATCAATGATTCTCCTCCCTTCCCGGCCTCCTTTTTTTCGGGGAAAATTAATAATAAATTGCAGCAGCAACATTAAATTGTGAAAATTGTGGAATGAAATAATTTAGCATGAATTTTCGCCAGCAATGGAAAAGCGTGGATGGGGAGGGGTAGGGGGAAGGGGGGGGGGGGGGGGGGGGAGGGCGCAGGCGGCGGGCCAGGAAAAGCGAGTGAAACATTTCCAATTAACACGTTGCTGGCCGGCAGTAGTATTTCAAAGGAATATCTTCTATCCAGTAGCTGGAGGTATGGGATATTAAGTCATTAGCATTTTTCGCCCACTCTATCCCTCTCCCTCTCGCTCTCCCTCTCTCTCTATCTGTTTACACCCACTCTCTTTCTGTTGGCCGTGCTCTTTGGTCCATTCAGGGAAATTTTCGCTTTCCTTCCTCCGCTGGCCCCGCTGGCTCCTTTGGCTCCTTTGGCTCCTTTGGCCCCTCTGCTCTCATTGCTCATTGCTCATTGCAATTTGCTTCACTAATGTTTCTTCTCTGTTTTCAAACGTCTCTCCATTCATTTAATGGGCGTCTGCTTTAAATTCCTTTCTCACTCTTACAGCTCTCCTTCTCTCTCTCTGTCTCTGTCTCTCTTTCACTCTCTCTCTCTATCGCTGGTCTGCTGGTCCATTCCTTTGGCTGCTCCTATCAAATGAAGTGTGAACGAGAAAAGCGTTTGCCGCTTTCAAATGAGATTTTTAAATATGACCAGCAATTGTACGAATAATACCAGAAATGCCAATACCAGAGAGACAGAGACAGAGAGGCTAGAGGCTGAAGCCGAGTGGCAACATCTATGGGAGCAGCAACATTTCGTGGCAGCAACATTGTTACAGTTTCTGCATTTGCATGTTTTATATTCCCATGCTCAGCGGAAGTTGAGCCTCATGTCTTCATGTACTTTGCATATTTACACTAATAGAAATTGTGGCAGGCAATTGAAAAACGGAGCCCCAGCGCAGCGCCACACAAAACTTTTGCCACACAGAGACGGGGCAGCCATTGCTGTTGCTGTTGCTGTTGCTGTTGCTGCTGCTGTTCCTGTTTTATGTGTGGCAATAAAAAGTGTCGCAGGCTCTGGGGGCGGGGCCAGGGGCAGGGGCAGTGCCACTGCCAGTGGGCCATGGGGCAGTTTTTACGGCTCTTGTTGCTGCCTCCTCCGCCTGCTAGCATTGCTGCTGCGGCTATTTTATTGTTGCGACAACAGCAGTAGTGTTGCTGCATTTGTGTGTGTGTGTGTGTGTGTCCAGTGTCGTCCATTCCTCAAACTTAATATATCCTGTTTCCTGATTTTCATGACGTACTTTGGGATGGCCCTAGAAGTGCTCTCTCTCTCTCTCTCTCGCTTTCCCTGCTGTCCAGTTCTGGCCACAATTTCTTGGTGCTTGTTCCCCCCCCCCCCCCCCCCCCCCCACACCACTCCCTTCCCTGCCCCTTGAAGGACAACGACGCTTATGCTGTGTGCCATTTTCTGCATTTAAGTGCAATTCTATGCAAGAATGTGCCGACATGCATATTTGTGCTAAAGCCATTCCCCAGCCATTCTACTGGGTGCAGTATCCCCCCCACTCTCCTCGCCCTCTCTCTCTCTCTCTCTCTAAACCTCTCTTTCTACCATCTCCCACTCCCTCCCTTTTAGCCACTCTCTTGGCCATAAAATGTTCGTTTTGCCAGCTAATGCATACAAATGCCTGATGCGCTTTTTGCATTACAAAAAGAACAACAAAATCTGTGAGAAAGAGAGCAGAAAGAGAAAAAAAAAAGAGAAGAAGAAGAAGCAACCAAACAACAAGGAGAATCACAGGGTGTATGCGT